TAAGCCAACTTAGTTTCACCTCTGGAGATGTGAGAAAGGTCTGCACAGACCCCCCCCCCCCCGCCCCACTTTACGGTGAAGACCTTCTCGGGGGGGTTACGACCTGGCTCGGCCTGTCAAACCAACGCTACCCCAACGCGGCTCGGTCTCCCTCCCGGGGTTCTCGACCTCCGCCCTCCGCCCCGAGGTGACCTGGCCCAGGGCTCCCGCGAGCCTCCTGGTGGAGCGGCTGCGCCGCGGAAGCCTTGGGCGGCGTCGAATTGCGGAGGGGCCGCCTTCCCGGCGGGTGAGGAGCGATGCTGTCCTACCCGACAGCCTGCAGGCGGAGGTCTGGGCGCTGCACGCCAGTAGTCTCCTCCTCGCCCGGAGGGGACGACGGTGGGAGGGGCGAGAGGGAAGGGCGTCGGCCGCCGCCCCCGGGCCACTCACCTGCGCTCCGGCCCGTGGGCTGGGCGCGGGGCGAGCGGGCGGCCCGGGAACAACCCAAGCGCCGCCGCCCCGACCCGGAGGCTCCGGCGCGGTCCCGGCGGCCGCGCGCGGTGATGACGTCACGCCCGACCTGTCACGTGAGTGGTCACGTCACTTGACCCGCGGGTGTGCATTGCCGGCTTGTGCGAGCCTGGAGAAAGCAGCGAGGAGGGTTTGGATGACTGGGGGTGGCGAACTGGGGGCGGAGGGGGCTTCGTGCGCGAGTGCCTGGGTGCAGCCCCAGCCAGGTTACCGGCTGAGACGATGTTCCCCAGGGCCGCGAGGCGCGGCGGACTGAGAGGATTCCAAAGATTTCTAAGCTAAGGGGCTGACTGCAGGGCGTGTTTTACCTGACAGGTATTCAGGAGCCCTCTTACATCGAGAAAACCCACGGAGGCTTCCGATTTCTTCACTTCCATTGTCCACAATGGCCTTTTCGGGCCGACCATCACTGTGCTGAGAATCCTCTGAGTCCTTCGACCATGGACTTCAGCGTTCTCTGCATCACAGTCGGGCCTGTCATCACCACTGGGTGGTTCTCCTCTGCTTCTGCACTCCGAGACAGTTAAATGGAAGGAACTTGCGGTCTCTAGAAGCTGCACACTGCGAGGGAGATTGCGAAGGATCTTCTTAGAAGTCCCAGGAGTCTTCATCTCCCTATTCTGCTTCTGCTGCCTTTCACAGCTCTTGGATGCGGAGCTTCTGATCGATTTCGGCACACTTATCTCAGTAGTGCAGAAGGGAATGAGGTTCCTTGATTCAATTCATGTGAAGGTCCAAACCAGTTGTGTTTGTACTGTTTTCCTCTGTGGGGCCTTTGATTCTTTAGGGATAATAAAACTATAGCCAAGTGGGTAGCAGTCTAATTTTACGTAGTGTTTCCGTCCCTCATATCGTATCTCTGATCTAAAATTCTCTGATTTACATATTGTGAGTGCAGGATTGGTACAAGTTTTATGGGGGGCATTTTGGAAAAGTTCACCAAAATGATGAATGCAGATATCCTTTAACAGCGATTTTAATAAATCTATCCTGTGTATACATTCACACACATGTAAAATGATGTGTGTGCAAGGTTGTTTGTAGATTGTACTTAAAACAAGTTTAACGCCCATCAGTAGGGGACTGGTTCAGTAACGTATAGTACATCCATACAGTTCAATACCATGAAGTTGAGAAAACTGTGCATACTTTGCTATTAGTTGTGTGAAAAGGTTGGGGAAATATAAATAGTCGTATTTGCCTGTACATGTATAAAAATTGCATTTGGAATAATACAAAATAGAGTAGTAACAGTTTCTTTGGAGAGAGGAACTGGTTGGTTGGGAGACAGGGCAGGAGGGAGATTTTTTCCTCTATATATTTTTATGCCTTTTGAATTTTGCATCATGTGAATTAAAAATATGTATAATTTAAATTAAAATAATCCCTTGTTTTCTGGTTGCAGAATAGCACCCACATGCTTTAATGATATTGCCTAATTCCTGGCTGCTAAACTGAGTTTTTCCAAATATGAGAGGGAACTTAATAAAAGAGGCTTTGTTTAGAATATGCGCACTGCTTTTCCTGAGAGTAAAAGATGGAGAAACTGCTAGCAAGAAAGCCAGCACTGTGGGAACTAGTTCAGGCTTCTGTTTTCTTCAAGGGCACAGCCCTAGCACGCCCTGAAGTGCTTAAGTTGTGGGAACACGGTCCTCAAGTGAGAATATTTCTAGTCGTTTGGACATCTGACTCTGCGCTACAGCCCAGACTGATTCTGAATTTCTTAAGTCCGTTGTTGGAGGGCTGTGTCTGGATGAGGTGAGTCAATCACCCAGGTTCCACACATTGCCCTTTTTGTTTGGACTCCAGGGATGACTCTGGGTGTTTACAGCTAGTGAAGGGTTTCAGTGAGGAAAAACGGGGATGTGCTGTGGAACTCTAGATCAAGTACGTAGAATATAGGTCAAATCTCTAAACCAGCTAGGCAGAGTGCGTTGCATTTTTGTGCCACCAGAGTATGGCAGAAATGAGAATGCGCCTCTTAATTACTGAATGTAATCATAGCAGGGCCCCGATTGCTGCTTTGAAATTCATTGTGAATTTGCACCCAGGCCTACCTCATGCCTCCCAAGGGCTGGTTCCTGCCCCTGACCAGTGATAACACAGATACTAAGGAAGGCACTTTCTGGGGGAGATGGGACTCCTCTGTGAGCCGCTTTTACATCAAGGACTTCTCCCAAACATAGGGCTGTGCTGAACCTTTCTTAGATTGCAAGACAATAGATGTTCTATAGCTACAGATTAGTCTCTTCCCAAATTGTTTACTTATTGATAGGAAGAGGATAGAGTCAGATTCTTAGCTTTTATTCTTGGCCTCTCTTTAATCAAAACTTATCAATGTTTCTGTCATCACTTACTTTTCTCCTGTATTGCCTAGCACACCGCAGGTCCTCAACAAGTATTTAGGAAGTGCATGAACCATAGCATGCAGTTAGAGAAAGAAGGTAATATTCACCTGCTGCTAGTTAGTTTTGGTAAAGGGAAGGGATAGTGAAATCAGGATTTTTAAATGATCTGAGGCTTTAGAACCTGGGGTTTAAGTCAGAATGATCTGGATTCAGATACTGCAATCCTGTCATGTTGTGAAAAAGTTTTGGTCTTTTGGGGCCTTAATTTCTTCATCTGTGGAATGGGATAATACCACCTACTTAACAGAGTTAAAAATAAAGACATAAAATAACATGAAAAGTACAAAGAAGATGCTCAAGACATCAAAGAAGATGTCTCACTCAGACTGTTTCCCTGGTCCTGTCTACTGGAAGATGATGAAGCACATACACATGGGGTCTCACCAATTGCTAGGGGTCTCATATTTCCTCAAGTACAACATGGGTGGAGTTGGACCAGATGTGGTCCATTTCCTTCCAGTTCTTTCTATACTAGTGGTTGCAAACTCAGATACCTCCGGGGTCCAAGCAGATGACCACACTGCTGGGTAGGGCCGAGGATGAACCTGAGAGTGCAGCCCTCTGTAAAGACACAGCCGCTATTGGGCCGAGGCTGACTGTTTCCAAACAGGTCATGTTTGTGAATGTTTGCGGCCTGCAGGTCAGCAGTTTGAGACTTCTGCTATCAGCTCCCTAAGTACTTTTTTAAACTTAAAAATGTTTTGTATTAAACAGATATACTTACTATATATGCAAGAAAAAGTGATCACAGTATAAAGAATACCCAGGTATGCACCTCCAATTTAATAAACACAAGCTTTACTTTAGAAATACCCAGTGTGTTACCCTGTCCTTTCCCCTTCAGAGGTATAGCCATTTTTCTGAATTAACATTTCCTTTTTTAAAGTATTTACCATGTTTATACCCTTAAGCTATCATTAACTTTGCACATTTCAGAACAGTAGTACATCAGTGCAATCACACCAGATATATTACTCCAAGTAGCCCCACTCCCTCCTCCGAATCTTGAGATTCAACCATGTTGTCATCACTGTAACTAGCTCTCACTGCTAAATAGTGTTTCAGCATAAGAATAAACCAAGATTTATTTTTCCACTCAAAGTTCTGGACGGTTGGCTTGTCTGTAGTATGTTGCTACTAGGCAAAGCTACAATGAATCTGTTAGTACAAGCTAAGTTTCTCAAGGGTAATTTTTTTTCAGAATGTGAGTTGTGACCCATTGATGAGTTATGAAACTTAGTGGGTCAGACCAGCATTTTAAAAAAATTTATTTATTTTTGGCTGTGTCGCTGTGCATGGGCTTTCTTCAGTTGCGGCAAGCGGGGGCCACTATTCATTGTGGTGCACGGACTTCTCATTGCGGTGGCCTCTCGTCGCGGAGCACGGGCTCTAGGTGTGTGGGCTTCAGTAGTTGTGGCTCGCGGGCTCTAGAGCACAGGCTCAGTAGTTGTGGCACACAGGCTTAGTTGCTCTGCGTCATGTGGGATCTTCCCAGACCAGGGCTCGAACCCGTGTACCCTGCGTTGGCAGGCGGATTCTCAACCACTGTGCCACCAGGGAAACCCCAGAACCAGCATTTTTTAAATGAAGTAACCTAGGATAGATACCAGATGCATCTCACATTGTATTGTTTCATGTAATGTTTGAATGTTATGACATGTATACTCCACCATGTCCATAGTGGTCCTATGGTTCCACCAGCAGCATCTGGTCTGCTTCACATCCATACCAACACTCAGTCTTAGGACTTTTAATTTGTGCCCATCTGGTAGGAGTAAAATGGTTTATCAGTTTGGTTTTAATTTACATTTCCCTGATTACCACCGGAGATAGAGATTTGTTGGCCTAGTTGGATTATTTTTTAAAAAGATCACTTGTTCTCCTAGTTGTACAGATTTGACCCTTAAAGTGAACCCAACTCTGTAACTCAAGAAGATTCCCATCTGGGGACTTCCCTGGTGGTCCAGTGGGTAAGACTGCACACTCTCAATGCAAGGGGCCCGGGTTCGATCCCTAGTCAGGGAACTAGATCCCGCATACATGCCACAACTAAGAATCCACATGCTGCAACTAAGAAATCTGCATGCTGCAACGAAGATCCCTCGTGCTGCAACTAAGACTGGCGTAGCCAGAAATTAAATTAAAAAAAAAAAAGATTCCCGTCCAATGCCTACACTAGCTCAGAAGTGACTACTGTAGGCCTTTTGCATCCAATGAACGGAACTCGTTGTCAGGCTGGGGAAAATTTGCAAAGGCACAAAAAGGCATGGAATAACCTCTTGACGAGACCTTAATCAGGGCAGTTTTAAAAGAACTAAAGTCTAGAGTATTAATATCATGTAGTAGACCTTTGATGCTCACAGGTGGGTGTCTTCTAATTACTGAACTCTACTGCAGCATGACACCAACTTCTCCAGGAAATGTCTGTGCGCTAAGTGGAGACACGTAAAGTGGCCTGGAGCAGCATGTGCTAGGAGTTCAGTTAGGCTCATTCGCTGGCCCGCACACGCCAGCCTGTCAATACCTATGATTCAGATTTGTGCCTCAGCAGAATCTGCAATGATTTTACTGGTTTTAATCCTTTGGACTTACGTGCAAATAGCTGAGACCACACGTGTTAAATCTTTGAATGCCAAGTGTCTTCTGTACTCCTTTATTATCATCATAGTCTTTGCATCAAGATACATAGCAATGATAGCAGGTTTCTTTTTAAAGCTTAGTATTAAATATTAAATATCTTTCCCCACTTTAATTTTACATTACTCTGCCAAGAAAACATTAAAACTCAAGTTATTTGAAGCCTGGACACACTTCCATGATTAGCCGGCTGTGTAAAAGTTGGTGGCTTTGCTCTTCCTGCTGTGTGAGCAAGTCCAGGCCCTAGAAAGATGGACGAGGTTGTAATTGTTTCTCAAAAGTGTGCTACAAAAACGGATGGCCTGTTATAAGCCAGGTTACAAAGTCAAGACGGGGGTGAGGGAGGGACAGTTTCTTCCAGAAACAGAATTTCTGAAAAGTCCCAGTCCATCATTTTTCCCCAGAACGGTTGGAGGAGGGGTAAAATCTCAACATGAGCTTCAAAGCCCCGTCTCTGCGAGGGGACAGTAGTCGCCTTACCGAGGGGGTCGCGGCCACGCCTGCCCATCCCCACTGCTCTCAGCGAGGGAATGGAGAGTTTATTGCCCAGTGAGTGTGAAGTGGGCTGAAGCTCGGTTGGTTCTGAATTCTCTAAGAGGTTTCTTCTAGAAACAAGACAACTCAGACTCTTCCTCTCACTTCAGCAAAGAAGTTATTTTAAAAGCACTTGGGAAGTTCCTGCTGTGCCCTTGCGGGGCGGCTCAGAGGAGGGAGTCGTCAGTACAGCCCCCTTCCAGGCCATATCGGAACTCCTGAAGGTTGGAGACCCCGTAGAAGTGGACGAAGGCGGCTGCCACCACCAGGACGTGGAAGATCTGATGAGACTGGAACTGCAGGGACACAAGAGAGGGGCCTCAGGGTGATGGCACGGAAGGCTGGAGGCGGTGGAGAAGGCACTCGCCTCTCCTCGTTCCTCCCTAAAGTTTTTTATATCATAAAAGTGGCAGATTTGTTGGAGAAAAAAATCTTTAAGCCCTGTCAGGGATACGCCAAAATGTTACTATCGCTCACTCCCCTCCCAGCCATTTTCCCACCTACATGCACGGACATGCATGTAGGAACTCGTGTGCACCCCCAGACACTACCTGACCCGTGTCTCTCACTGCCTCTGACTCCGAGCTCTACCTGTGGGCCGGTCTCACCACCACGGGCCCCACTGAAGCGTCGTTTCTTTTTACCCATATGTCGAATTTTCCAGGGAAGAAGCGCTCAGGAATCCGCGCGGCATAAAGGCCGGCCCCGGCGATGTACATCACAGCCATGAGGAAGAACCAGCCCATCTGCCCCACCGTGGTGGCCTTGACAAAGCCCTCCGCGATCGTAAAGTGCATGGTGGGCACGACGCCGCTCAAGCCAAGCCCCAGGAACACCCCTGAACAAAGCAGACACAAGAGCGTCAGGCATGGAAACAGTACCACTTGGAAGGCACTGCTATCTCACTCTGATGAGCTACTTTCTGGTGAACGGTACATGTTTATTGGAAACTGAGCGCAAGATGGAGAACACTCAGCAGACACTCCTTTAACATTCAGAACGGGAAGAAGGCTGTGTAGATGCGGATATAGCTCTTCCCTCCTAAGGAGCCAAGAACAAACGTCTCACATTCTTAACTATCCGTGAAGCAGCCTAGGCGACCATGTAGGTCAGAACTTCCTGATGCCTGCCTTGGGTACAGAACTGACACGGTGAGGCCTCAGGTGGTTTGCCAGCCAGGGAGGAGCAAGACAGGCTTCCCATTAAGGTCAGGACCCTGACCTCCTGAGGAGACAGAGAGACCCAGACTGGAAGTCGTCAGTGGCCACTGGACAAAAAGTAAATAAACGGACAGACAGAACGGGTGCCGGCTCAACACCACCACCGTACACGCAACCGCAGGGCAGGGACTGCCTCTCTGTTTCTGCAGACGGCCTTGGTAAAGCATCAGTCTGGCACATGGTTGGCACTTGATGAATACTTAATTATTTTAAATGAAGGTTAAAACACAGCAGATGTTAAGTCTAAAGGGACCGACGACTAGTGCTAATCGATGTGTTGCTGCGAGTAATAAAGCTTGAGTCTGGATGAGACAACAGGAAGATGTTTATGCTCACAGCCATCATGTTACTTGGTAACAGTGTTTATGCCCAAGGTATTTTACTTACCAAGCAAAGCCTTCCATTTCTTAGTAAAATAACTTTGGGTGGTTTAATTTTAGCCCCTTGGTTTGAGCTCAGCACTGAGCTCAGTGACCCTCAGGTCACTAAAATGACTGCTTTGTACATTTTTTAACTTCCTCAAACCAAATATAAGAGCAGTCATTTCTATACTTGTAGCTCATTGACCAGGTTGGTAATTATCTGTCCTATTAACATGTTACTGAAATAGTACGAAACCTGGGGGAGAACTGAGCTTTGAAAATGCACGCTGTTTTGAAAGTTCTAAACACAGAACAGGGTCTGGGTGGGGCTCCAGGGTTGACCCCCTTGGGCTCAAGGTCCAAATACCTATGAGGTTTATGTCTTCCGACCCACCTGCTCTTGTCTGCCGGTGCTTAGGAGTGGCAAACCGGTCCCACTGGGCCACAATGATGGCAGAGATGCCCAGGACACAGACGCTGGAGAGGTAGATGAGCCGTGGCTGTGGGGAGCAGTAGAAGGAGTAATAGAGCCAGGGCACGAAGCTCCCCATGATGAGCAGGGCGATCCCTGAGTAGTCCAGCCTGAAAAGAGCCACAGAATGAGCGGAGCAGTGGAAGAAGTGAAGAGCTCCTAGGGCTTGTTTAGCTGGTTCTTTCTGTTCTCCGGCGGCTCTCAGATGTGACCACCCCCAGCCCCTCACTTCCCATACGATCTGTCCTATATCCTGAATCAAAATCCCATGAGGTCAAGCACTTCTATTTTGCAGTGGAAAAGTCTGAACTGTATCCCTTTCCGCTGGCTGTGAACAGCTACATCCCCCTCATGGATACTTAAATTCAGGAATTTCATCAGTCCAGCCAGTCTCCAGCTTCCACACAGGAAAGGCTCTGAGTATTCCCCTGTTCTGATAGGTTGAGTTCTAAAAACAAAACCCTTAAATTGGGAGTATTATTAAGGTGTACTGTTCTGTTTTAGTCAACTTCTTAAAGATAAAAATGTATTCTTGTTACTGGTGTTACTGAGAAAAACAAAATAACTCACCATCACCTCCAAAACCACCACCACCAACAACAAAAAAAGCAAACAAACAGAACTCCAGGCTCAGAACTGGGGAATAAGGAGAGCCTTAGAGAATGGACATCTGAGGCTTCCAGCAATATGTGGGCAGCAAAAATAAGCTTTACTGGACCGGTGGGTCGGAGCTCCAGCAGGATGAAGCACAGAAACTTTGCCACGTCCTGAACGGCTTGGACCACCAGGAAGGTAGGACAGGACTGGGTACTCGGTCCGAGAGAGCAGCCCACTGGTACCCAAAGTTTCACAAAGGGCAGCACTGCACAGGGAGAAAATATACCCACAACTAAGCTCCATCTGTTGAGGAGGCTGCAGTGAAACTTCTCACGAAGGACTTAAGAGAAAAGTTTCCTGGGCTTCCCTGGTGGTGCAGTGGTTGAGAGTCCGCCTGCCGATGCAGGGGACGCGGGTTCGTGCCCCGGTCTGGGAAGATCCCACATGCTGCGGAGAGGCCGGGCCCGTGAGCCATGGCTGCTGAGCCTGCGCGTCTGCAGCCTGTGCTCCGCAACGGGAGAGGCCACAACACTGAGAGGTCCACATACCGCAAAAAAAAAAAAAAAAAAAAAAAAAAAAAAAAAAGAGAAAAGTTTCCTGATCCTCTTATACCCGCAAAACAGAAAGCCCTTCCTCTGGCACATTAGGGAATCTTCAGGAGTTGCTGGAGTTTCCAGGACCCTGCCAGCACCTGGATCACAAGGTGTCCCTACCGACGTTCTTCTCACTCACTTGGAAAAGGTCCGAGAGACCTTCTCTGAGTGACAATAGACGGTGTGAAAGAGCCAGGAGAAGCTGAGGCAGAGCACCGCGCCCAGGAAGAACATCCCGAACACCACCTTCTCCTGAAGGGGGGCCATGAAGTACATGTTTGGTCTCAGCATGGTCAGGATTCCCAGAAAGAGAAACAGCACAAAACCTACAGGACGGAGAGAAGAGGCCTGAGGAAAAAGGCAAGGTGTGGTGATTTAAGCCAGCACTAAAGCTACAGGTTGAGCCGTGGGCACCGCGGTCGACAACTTCTGGAGAAAACCGCACCCGTCACACAAACCCAGACAGAAAGAGCATCCTCTGAAATGCTGGCGTTTTGTTTCTACCGCGGGGACTGTGAAGTGGGAGGAGCTGCCTGCACCGGGGACGGTTCTGACCACAGAGGACGTCATCTCCTCTGCTTCTAGGCCCCCCACCCCCGCCTTACAGACCAGCGACGAAGGGCCCAGCAAGCTCACTGGTAGTTTAAAGGCACGACGCCAGCTGTCAAACTGTCACAACAACGTTGCTTTTCTTTCCCGTGGACAAAGGCTGTACAAGTGCTGGTGTTTAAGGAGACAGAAAGTCCGATCCTCCACCCAGACCACTCACCAAGCAGGTGGGTCCAAATGTTGCCGGTCTCCGTGTGGATGCGGAAGATGCTCTGGAAGCAGGCGCGGAAGGAGGGCATGGGCGGCCTGTGGCCGTGCAGCAGGTAGTCGTTGTCCTGCAGCCAGTCGGGGAGCACGTCGTATGGGATGACCCTCCAGCGCCCCTCCCAGACCTGCAACCACACACTCTCTGAGCGGGGCCCCGAGGACGCGAGCCACCCCAAGGACAAGGGGTGAAGGAGAGCGTCAGCCTGGCTCCAGAGGGGCCCAGGGAACGGTGGGGCCAGCCTGGGGCCAGAGAAGCCAAGACACAGCACGAGCGAGGCCACCCCAGGACCGACGGCTCGTGAATGGCTTTGTCCTGTGTCATGATAGTTCACCTGGATATGCTTAGGTAAGTAGATAAGTGTTTCTCAGTCTTTAAAGAGAATATGGCAGGACCTCCCTTCAGCTACTTGAGTTTTAAAATTCAGTAGATGTAGTGAATGAAAACAAGGAAATAGAAATTATATATATGGTTTTAAAAATATACATTTACCCCTCTGCCCCTCTGCCCCCAGAGACTCTGGTGGCCGCCTGTCCATCCTTTCCCCCCTTTAGATACTACGTTCTTACTGGGTTGAGCCTATGACTTTTCAGAGCAGGGCTTCTTAACCTGGGACGTATGGACAATGGACAGTGTTGGAAATATGGATGGAAAAAAAATTTTTATTTTCAATCACTTCTAACTAAATTTAACATTTCCCTCAGTTGTAAATGTGAGCAAGTCTAGTATTAGAATTTGTGACTCTGTCACCAATAGAAATCAGATATTTTCATACACTAGTTTTGCAGATATCAAAATATTGTTTCTACTGGTTACCACTTAGAAATGATAAATTCTAATAAAATACATTATAGCTTGTCATGCATAGCTAACGTATTAATAAAGGTGCCATGTTACCGTATCACATTCTAATATTTTGATGGCTGCCAAAGGGACTGATAGCAAAAACGTTAAGAACTCCTGTTTTAGAATATATTCTGAGCAAGGCCAACACAGTAGGCAGTAAAAATTTAGCCAGATTCCCCTTGATTTACTTCACCGTAAAGGAAAGCAAGCCCACGCACAGGAGCGAAAGCTCTCCCCGCCAGGGCGTGCCCGCCAGGTGCAGGGAGCCCAGGTGAGCCTGCCCTCCCCCTTCCAGGACAGGACCTTGTACACAAACTCCTCCATCTTCTCCATGGCATGGTGGGCTTGCAGGGGCAGCGTCAGCACCCGCACCTCCTCCTCCTCTTCCTGAGGCACTGCGCGTGCCCGCTCTCCTTCGGCCTGCAGAAACGAAGGAACCACACACCCCAGGAGTTCCCTAGTCCAGAGTGAGCGATCCAGAGAAACCCCAACTCACTGCCCTCTGCCCAGCCTCTCTCCCACACTCTGGCCTTGTGGCCTTTTCTCCTACGGCATGACGGTGCACGAGTTTACAACTCTGTAAATGCTGGAGCGAAAGCCCAACGCAGCACACGGGGGACAGACGGATGGAGACTGGCACCCGAGGCACACGGGACTAGCGCACCAGGCCTACATGCTCTGCAAGTCCCAACAGCCCACGCTTATCGCTAAGACAGCGGTTCTGAACTTGCCCCATTTTCCCGAATATTTCTCTCTTCCAGATCACTGAATGCTCAAAAGAATGAAAAAGACAGAGTTTCAGAGATTCCCCTAACAATTTAAATCTGTGCAGTTCTCTGTTCTCTGGCTCTGGGGATGCCACGGTGACTGAAACTCTGCATCCACAGCAGCTCCCAGGAGAAGCAGGGCCTCAGAACTGGTTCCGCGAAAGAAGCTGCAGGCCCTCCCGAGCTGCACAGAAGCCTGACACACAGTGTGCAGCTCGACAGCCCTCGCCTCCCAAGGAGAGGCTCTGGGCCGTGTGCGGACAGCAGCTCCTCCTCCCGGCTGTTCTTTCCCCTGTGATGCTTCCTCTTAGATTTCACGACACAGACTGATGCAGACCCCTCTCCCCCTCCGTGACAGAGTCCTTAGTTTCACTCAGGGTGGCAATGCTACTGCAATTTTGCTCAGGCAAAATGAAAAGACCACACCGATGTGCATGAAGCGCTGCCAGGTGCTTTCAGGAAGGGTGGGCCCTGCTCCCCCAGCCCCGCCCCTCGGCGACACAGTAAGAATGAGATGGAAGAGCATGACAGGTGCCTGCCCAGGTGCAGCGTCCACACCAGCCCGTGGCGGCTACTTCCAAGCACTCTCTCTCTACGAGAGAGACTTCTACCTCGTCAAAGCTACACGCTGGCTTTTTTTTTTAACATCTTTATTGGAGTATAACTGCTTTACACTGTTGTGTTAGCTTCTGCTGTATAACAAAGTGAATCAGCTATACATATACATACATCTCCATCTCTCCTCTCTCTTGCATCTCCCTCCCACCCTCCCTATCCCACCCCTCTAGGTGGTCACAAAGCACCGAGTTGATCTCCCTGTGCTATGCGGCTGCTTCCCACTAGCTCTCTGTTTTACATTTGGTAGTGTATATATGTCCATGCCACTCTCTCACTTCGTCTCAGCTTCCCCTTCCCCCTCTCCGTGTCCTCAAGTCCATTCTCTACATCTGCGTCTTTATTCCTGTCCTGCCCCTAGGTTCTTCAGAACCATTTTTTTTAGGTTCCGTATATATGTGTTAGCATACGGTATTTGTTTTTCTCTTTTTGGCTTACTTCACTCGCTACAGGGGTTTTTGTTTGTTCATTATACGAAGCCCAGCCTAATCTTGCCTGACTGCTTCCTTGCTTCAACCACAGACAGGCACTGGTCACTTGCAGGATTTCAGGTCTTGTGCTAAGCACTGGGGTATAAGCAACCGCTTAGTGGGAAAAACAGATAAAAAGAGCTACACTACAGCGTGATGAGGACTGGGGTAGGGAGAGTCCCTTGGGGAGACCGACAGGCCTAAGGGGAGAGGCGGGCCCTGGGGGGACAACTTACTTTGGTTGGGCTGGCAACGCCCCGCTTGCCCTGCTCCTCTAGCAGGGGGCCCAGCTCAGCCAGCTCCACCGTGTCCGCCTCCCTGTTCCCGGCAGGAGCCCCACTGCCCTGGGCCACCACAGGTCCTTTGTGAGAAGACATCTGGCTGGTACCTCAATGCTCTGCGGCTTCAGCTTGGGAAAAGGGTGGGGTCTCTCGACCCCAGGGGGCAGAGAGTTCCTTGTGATGGAAGACACTGAAAGCAAACATAAACACCAAACACGAAGGGTGTCAATGAGCCAATACACAGGGACTAAGACACAGCCCCTCGACTCACAGCCCCTCCAGTCCTAGAGGCCAGTTAAGTGCTTTTGTTCTCCTCTTAACTACCACCCTTTACTTGGAACCTCACTAATCTTAACGATAAGGCTGAAAACCTAGTTGCATGCCTCCAAAGGATTTGTTTTTCCGCACCAAACGGTCACCACAGAAGAACAGCTACCCACCCGCAAGTCCCTCCCACGCGCACAGAGTGGAGTTTAGCCCACCAGCCCCAGAGCCAGTCTGCCCTGCAAAGTCCTGGCCCTGAGACTCAGGAGGCAGACGAGGAGGCCGACACCTGCTGTGGCCGCTGCGAGGCCCCCGGCTTAGACGTGAGCTAACTGCCGACTGAACTCGGCGGGCCTTACCTATGAATGCTGACACGTGTGCCTCGCACACAGAAGGAACTCGGCTGTGGGACAGGCGCCCAGTGGTTCGTCTCTCTGCCAGGCCCACTACTTCTCTCACAGGATCACAGCCCGGGCTCGACACCCGGACAGCAATAACCTGGACAGCTTTACTCACAGCCGCCCCTCACAGCAGCAATAACTCGCCTGCACGCGGGAGGCTGAAGGCAGGAGGCAGCCCAGCCTTGCCCTCTGCCACCAAACAACCGGCTCAGCGAGCCGTCCCAGCAGCCGTGGCTGATGACCCACGCGCCACGCAGACGAGCTTTTCAGAGGCCCAAGGCAGGCACACGGTTCCTGTAAGGAAGTATAGTCTTGAATCGGGCCCAGGGAGAGGAAGGCGTATGGAAAGGAGGGGAAAAGTGCCCCAAGATTTCCAGCCCCGCAGCAAAGGCGTGGCCTGCTCACAGCAGGAGGATCCAGAATATCCACATTTTCTTGCACTGGGGTCACCTGAGCCCCGAAAAGCACAGGGCAGTGCAAAGAGGGCCAGGCAACACCTGCACATGGGGCGAGCTGCATGACGGGGAGGAAACGGAAGCTCGGGCAACCCACACCTTTCCCATGGGCAGTCAGCACAGCCCTGCGCACCGCGTCCATCCCCGGTGGCTGTTCACAGACATCCACCTTTGGCATCTTGTACGAGTTCTTTGTTTACCCAACAGTGATCTCAATTCCTTCTCAGGGATTATCATGCGATAAATGCAGTCAGGTGAGGGCAATCCTCAAGTTTGAAAACAGTCATGCTATGCTCAACACACAAGCACAGCTGAAAGCTACTGGCAGAGCTGGTTCAAGAGAACAGACCGCCCATAACTCAGTGCACGCAGACCTGTCTTCGGTGTCAACACACAGGCAGTTCCTCTTCCTCCAAATGTGCAAGACTCTGACAAGAGGGACGCCAGCCCACAGTCATAGCCAACAACTGAGCCCAAGGAGAACAGGAAATTGGAGGCCTCTGAAACCTCAAGAGATAGGCAACTGACGTAAGCAGAAACACTGGGAAATCTTTCTCAACAAGCCGACCACAAAACACATCTCCTCAAAGTGAGGTACTACTGAATAAACAGCTTAATAAGAGGTAATTTATACTCTGGGGTGAAAACATAAATAGCTCCGGGCATCTCGGAGAAGTCTGAAAAGGGGAATACACTCAGCTATTCTAGAATACTGCTGCCAGCATGTGAGGGGTGGCCACTAGGGCTCAAGACAGATATACAGATACAGATATTCTCAGGTTCTGGGATACAACACTACATGGATCACAAATTTATACATACCCCTGATTTTGGTCAGAACACGTATTTCAAAATGAATGAATGAATGAATGAATGAGGCAGCATTCCAGCAAGAAGCATACGACCTATCAGCTCCTGCTGCTAATAGCTAAGGGTTTATGGACTTGTGCTTGTAGGGCTTCCTCCTGTCCCTCTCCCGAGTAAGCCAACACACTCACTGAATACTTAACAAATGTATTTAGTGCCAGTGCCCTCAGGCACTTTAAGGAACTGTGCAAAATACAAAACCAGTGATACAACTGCACTGCTCCAAGAGGACAGTGGACGGAGAACCCCTAAACTAGGATGGCCACACACTAAGTTGTTACTTTGAGTGCTGTCATGTCACCATAGTGAGCAAAGTCCACTGTCCAGCTGGGTCTTCTAAACTGTAGCAACACAGGGACAGGAAAGGGAGAGAGAGGGGTCGGAGGTCCGGCAAGAAAGAAAAGCCAATAATGAATGCTAGGACCTGAAAATATCACTTGACAGCGTGGGCCACTCACAAACAGCTGGGAATTACTGCAAGCAAGCGTTTCAGTTTCTACTATATACCACCAGCCTCCGCCCCTAAAGTGTTAAGACGGACTCTGGGAACGTCAGGAGAGCCGAAGGTACTTCAGCTTTCTACTAGCTTTTCTATCCTTACCTATTTTAGAGGAAACACATTTTCCCTCAAACTCGCCACACCCAATATAGCAATTATAATTGGGCCAGACTGCACTGAGTGCATTTTTGACGGGATTTCTTCAATTCACGCTGATAAATCTTTACCACTAAGCTTTCCTGCTGGATAACTCTATGACACTAGAGAATAAAGCCGTGGAGGCGGGGAGGCGCTTGTGCTCCTATAAGTAAGATCATCTGGTGCCAAACTAGGGAAAGGACTGATTCTTAACTGCCAGCATTTACTGGTGAGTTTATTTCCCTCACACTTTTGGAGACATGTATTTTGTGAACCAGTTCCCAAGTTTTCCAGGCTATAGCACACTCCTTCCCTGGAGTCAAAGGCACAAAACTTCTTCTAGGAGTTTTTAATCTGGGGTCCCTGGGCCCTCAGAGGTTCCACGGGTAAGCTCCATCTTAGGTCTACATGACTCACATTGTTCTAAAGCAAGGCCAGCCTAGCGGTAAAGACCAAGAACACAGCCATCTTCTCCTCTATCTGCTCTCTTTCTTAGGGAAGGTGCTTTCATAGCACTGCTGGGGGGTAAATGAGTCAAGGCAAAGGCTTATGTTTGAAAACTATCAAATTGCAGTAAGGGAGCCTCAGCTTTCCTATTTGATCACAGTGTCACTGACTTAGAGTCTGCAGCGAAAAATCACAACGTAGCTTTCTCTGTAGCTCTTCTCCAGATAAAGCTATCCCAACAGAAGGGGTCTGTTTTTTTTTGATCCCAGAGACAGGTAAGCTTTTCGAATGCCATGACAAAAAGAAAAAAAGTAAAGTATACAGGAATATGAAGGCGTTTCGTACCAGTCCTTGTTTTTAAGTAAATTACACATATATGGCCACTATAGTTACACGTTATAGTGATAACTTTATACTGTGAAAGCCCCGATGAAACAAAAGCAAACTAGGTGCACGTCTAAAAGCCAATCACTTGGAATCAGTTTGCCTAGAGGGCACTTTCAAGGATCTCTTCAATCCAAGATAGCTAAAACTTTATAAACATTAATCACGTCCCCAACATTTCTGAGCGGGAAAAGGGAATCAACTTTGAGTACAGTGAGAGGAACAAAGTCCAGTGGGTGCCCTGAGGGACAAATGGACATTAAGGACAAAATGTAACAACTCTGATGAGTACCAGCACCAGAAAATACCCCACTAGTATTAATAAAGCTTCTGGATTTAAAGATGACTGTTTAGTTCACCAGCATGATCACAAGTAGATGGGACAGGAGACTGTGGCAAGAGTGTTAAAGACTTTCCGTTTGGCTTTATAGTAAAGGAGTCAAGGAAATTTCTTAGGGAAATAGAGAACAAACTTTCGGGCCGAGAACGAAGTGCAAATGTCTTTTATCTATCTACGAATACCATTGATTACACACAACATGCGTGACACTGTGGCTACAGAGAAGGCAAAGAGACCAGTTAGTGGCTTCGCATGGCTGCTGGCCTCTATTTTAAGAGGAGGCAATAACTTCTGTTTTCTACTAAAACCACTACAAGGCTAAATGCCACAAAGTGCTGGAGGAATTCAGAAGAAAAGCTCAATTTTAGTTGGAATAATCAGGGAAGGTATGGTGGAAGATTTTAAGAAAGGATCTTGATAGGTAAAGATGCGATCCAGGCATTCCAGAAGGGTAGTGCTATGAACCTAGGCCGGCTTGAAAGAACAAAGGCCCCCAGGGCAGTGAATAATCCACCTTCCATAAGGAAGTCTTGGAAAGGTAAAATGAGGCCAGACTTAAGAAACCGGGGACAGCCTAAAAGCCTACCTACGGTGGTGCACTTTATCCATTAGCAATGGGGAGCCTACTGGATTAAGGCTGCGCCCTTGTCTGAGTTTCCTTCCTAGTTGCAGGCAAAGTGTTTGCTTAAAATTTCTGTTTATCCCCTGGGGATCATGTAATTTCTTGGCCACTGAGCATGGAATGCTTTCAGATTCTACTCAGAAGTTAGGTATAGTTTTGTGGAGGTCTAACCCTAAGACGTTGCTCACAGGGAACAAGATTGATTCGCCAAGTATCAACCACTATAAGGTAACACAGAAGTTACTCCTGGGATAAAGAAATTTAGTGGCTGCAAGCTGGGAACTATTACCCTGACGCTGCAACCTGTTTGACACCACCCCGCCTAAGTTCCTAGTACTGTATGGATGCTACAAAACCTAAGGAACAACAGTTGCTCCATCACCGGTGACGCAACCCCTATTAAGAGAGAAAAGCTGGAGACAGATCCCACGATCACTTCATTTCAGAAAAGAACCAGCCATTATAGCGTTCGCTTGATTTAAGTCAGTGGCCTATATAGTCCCTGCTGTGTTTTCTAGCCTTTCTTCTACATTCTGGGGGGAAACTGGTTAATCCAGCTAAGTACTTAGTAAGCCTCCTGTTGCTCCTCTGACACCTGAAACTATGTAAATGAAATTCGCCTTGTCAGTTTCCCTTTCGCCAGTGTAGCACCAGAAACCGAGGAGAAACATACCTATTTCCTTCAAACTCGAAGGCTTGACCAAAAATCTCAAACATAGGATGGCATCAATGAGAGATTTCTGAGGGAATGAAATTTGGTTTTTTCCTAACGT